ATAAACAAACATATCTAACTTGCAAAGGTTGTATTCACTTGAGACCATTGTATGCCAGTTAGTGTATTAAAATTACAATGGCATTCAAATTCGTTTGTCCCATCGATGTAAATATTTTACAATGTTTGCGAAGTACGTTAGAGCGTACCCACGCTGCATTTAAAAATGCGGTACGCCCGCCAAACAGGTCATCGACCTTGAGACCTTTGTGACAAAACTTGTGGGATGTGCTACAGCGTGCTTATGGAGTTGCTTTTTTAAAGAATGTATAAAACCATCGAGCATTAAACTTTTACTGGAGCTTTAAAATGTTGTTTGTTAATTTCGTATTATTAAAATAATAAAAAATGTAATCTATGTTACTCACAGATAAATTACTTTTCTAAAGGTGAAAGAATTTTTGAAATCAAACCAGTAGTTTTTACGTGAATCGATTACATTCAAAAATTAAAAAATACAAATCTTTCCTATGTATAACATTAGTATAAATAAGTTTTTTATTATTATTAAATACACGAACCACTATTGTAGTTAATAGAGGTTCTGATTCCATCTTATGGTTGTCACATCACTAAGGGAGAACTTAATGTAGATTTAGTATAAATATACATTTACTGTATTTCTTACCATTTAGTGATGTCTATTTCAAATCTCCTCCTAGAAATGTTTAACATTATCAAAGGTATTTGTTAGAGAAATACCTAGTTATTATTTAGTACCTTAAATGACGTACGGAAACTACTGACTGGCTTGCTGTCTTGCACATGATTAATTGCGGAGATGACTATAATGAGGAGAAACTGGAGATGTTATAGAATTTCCTATTAGAAAAGGAAAACATAGACTATGTATAGCTACATCAAGTGGAAATTAAGTAGTAAAGTGTAAAAGAGCAAGTTTAGAAAAAACGGAAGCCATTTACACTTAATTTATAATTTTACTAGCTTTCTTACTAGCTTAGCTACGTTGTGGAATTAAAAAAAATGAGTAGCCTATGTGTTCTTCCAAACTATATTCTAAATCTGTGCCAAATTTCATTGAAATCCGTTCAGCCGTTTAGCTACAAACGCTAACAAACATCCATCTATAGTAACTTTCGCATTTATAATACTTATATGATTACATGATTTATATCATAGATGCTATATTGTCGTTATTAAAAAAATTAAAAAAAAAAATGAAAAACGTTCACCCTGTCAACGAATAATAAGTCAGTAAATAACATTAAAAAAAAGTAAAATAGCTATCCAGTATTATCGTTAGCACTTGACAAACGATAAAAACGGGGTTCATACTAACATATCAGTTCCGTCAACAAAAACCATAAGCGGTTAGTTTTTCTTAATGGATATAAGAAAAAACGAATCGCTTCTTTTTAGATACTACGATTACAAATAAAAAATCACCTAACAGTAACATTTGTTTTACTTGTACAGTTTTGTGGAATACAATAGAGTAACTGTAAAATTACGTACAGTACTTCAATGATCGGAATGTCGGTGCTGGTTTTTGATTGACAACGACCTCATTTTATAGAGCAACTAACAAGGGCCTTTATATATTAGCTTCTGTAACATTTTATTCTTGTAAATATATACACATAACATATGTAGCACAAACATTTTAACATATTAGCACGAATGGGCCGCCTCACTTGGTGAAATACCACACAGAAAACAGGCGCGAAGTGTAAGCAATTCCGCGTTACGTTCGAAAAGTGTGGTGCCGGAGGCGTAACTTTAGTCCCTTTCCCTTTCCACCCTTTTCTTAAGAGGAAAGGATGGGAAGGAAAAGTCGATTTGACGGTGGAGACGCATAGGAAGGTGGAAATGACCTCTTTATGTTCGTCTCGTAATTGCGGATGTTTATGGGTAGGGGTCGCCTTCCATTTCAGTGGATTCAGGTGGCCGCTTGCTCGTTTTCCACTTTATATTATAAAAAAAATAATCATCTTCTATTAATAGTGCCCTTTACCAGATTACTTCTAGACTTTAGAAAATCTCAGTTATTGACTATTCATAAAGGTTAATTTTTATAAAATTAATGCTCTAATAATTCTAAGATAAATGTTTTTAATGACAGTTAAAGTTGCGAGTTAAATTGTCCGTGACATTGTTGATCAACGAAGCTTCAGTGTAAGTTCATGGTAAATATCTTATTTATTATCTAAAGTATTCGTTTATGTATAGTAATCATTATTTACGTGCCCTTGAAAGACAATATAAATTGCTACACAAAATCATGATTAACGCATGACGAATATTTCAGAAAATTTATTTTTACAATGATTTTCGTCCAGGCTTTTGGGTAGTAGGAATAATGTATCCCTTTTCACGCAATAAACCTTTAATCATACTAATATTATAAATGCCAAAGTGTAGATGGATGGATGTTGGAGTTTTTAGCCTAAACGGCTGAACGGATCTCGATAATCGATCGGATAATTTGGCATAGATGTAGAGGATAGTCTGGAAGAATACAGGCTACTTACTTTTGCCTTTTTTAATTCCACGCGGACTTTGTCGCGTGCGAAGGCTAGTTTAAAAAACACTGCGTACAATATTTTTAACAGTAGCGAAGCTAAATCTTTCATTCTTAGGTACGCAGTTACAAAATCTAGGCTATCAGTTAACCGGTGATCGTAAAATTTATCGTTACACTTTACGACTTATTGTTTCTATGGTTCCTAATGATTTTACAGTTGCTTGGACTAACGCCTAAAGTCCGCCAGTCACGACTATCTCTTAGTGATTCTAGTTTCCTTAAAACTATTCTTAACATGACAGTATTTTACGAATTTACGAACAAATTATGCAATAACTTGTTTTCGAACGCGATGCCGTTCGCGTGGAATTAATAAAAAACAAAAGCAAGTAGCCTATTTTCAAACTATCCTCTACATCTAAGCCATTCGTCGAGATTCGTTCACCAGTTGAGGCCACAAACTCTAACAAATATCCAATCGTTTAACCATCCAAACTTTCACATTTATAGTGTTACCAGCTAGTACCCGTAACGTCGTCCACGTGGCATTAAAAAACAAAAGTAGCCTATGTGTTTTTCGAGACTATCCTCTACTTTTATAGCTTTTATCGAGATCCGTTCAGCAGTTTAGGCTACAAACATCCATCCATCTAATCTTTTGGATTCATGGTTAGTAACTAGTAAGATTAGTAAGACTTCAATACATCTGAGTCATACTCAAGGTCTATCAAACGAATGTTCTAGGGCTAGTAGAGTACGTAATTGACATGTGACATGTGACTCACTTGGTAATGAGGTGCAAATGGTAAGAACACGAAGCCCGCTTCCTACAGTCGTTAACATCTCAGTATCGGAGTTTCACTTTTACTGTTCAAGTATTCCAGTCAATGGATATTTAATAACCTTTTTGTTCATAAGACACTTTATATTACACCTATACACTAGCGACCGCCAGTTTCGCACGGGACAAATGCTGATACGCAAATGTGTTTATTTAAATGACATTGGAAACATCTCAAATCAGTATTTCTCTACTATATTTTGCATATAAACCTTCGTCTTGAATCACTCTATCTATTAAAACTGCATAGAAATAAGTCGCGTAGTTTTAAACATCAAGGCATACACATATTTATACAAACAGATGGAAGCGACTTTGTTTTCTATATTTATACTTCTCTACTATTATAAACAGGAAAGATTTATGTACGTATTGAAAAAGCCATCGAGAGCTACGTTGTCGCTGAGTAACATAGGCTATAATTTTTTTTTATTTCACGCGGACAAAGTCGCGAGTAACAGGTAGTATAATATGTAGTAATCGTTTAGGAGCCACTAGGTATAAGCTGTGTTTTAACATTGTTTAACACGTGACTTACTATGAGTTAAATTTTTGTATTAATTTCTCTATAACTGTAAAGTAATTAAGAGTTATTCAATCAACGAAATCCTATTCAAACACTTTGTTCATTTTATTTATCTTGTATTGGAATTTAAATTACTTTTTTCATGTTGACTTGACGCAATGTTTTCGAGTTATTGTTGGATTTTGGATGGCTTGTTGGCTTGGTCTGTCTCAGCGGTATTTCCAAACCAGTACGACTTGGGTCCTTCAAGAAGCGAGCCTACAATTTCCTCAAAGGACAGCAACACATCTGTAGTAGCCCTTTTGCCCCCTTTTCTTATGAAAAAAGAATCGAGTAAAATTATACAGTCCGTTTACGGGGTAGCCAGTAACTATGAAAAATTAAACTTATCTATTTGATTTATTATGACTAAAGATATATCTAAAATCCAGTATTTGTACGATTTTGTGTCATCTTCGTAACATATTCTAGATATTTTCCAAGTAATAATTTCGCGGGAAACAACTTCTGTTTAGGAGGTCAGTGTACCCTGATGGCAGTGTTAAGATAATGCCGTAAAACCTGTTTGTTTGTGATACTGTTGACCTCTGAATACCAAATGAACTACATAATACATTATTTCGGGATTATTTGTGAAAGGCTATTAAAACTAAAATATTAATTATTTTTTGTGATGTATGTGTGATTTTATAAAGTGATGAACTATAAAATAATACATGATTATTTTTAAATAAATATAATTTTAAATAAATATCCGTCTGGACGTATTTACATACTAACATTTTAAAAATACATAATCTTTAGTATTTATTGTCACGCTAATTTATGTCGTATTGTAAACAGAATAAGGTTTAAAATGTAACTCACAACGGTGTTTCTTATTCCAGTTGAGAACCCGAACTTCGATCAGGGCTACTTCGGGCCATGGCGCGTCTGCAAGAAACTGCTTTACAACAGAGAGAAATGCGGCACCGACGTATCCAAATTCCGACCATCGAGTAAGTAACCTTATTGTTTATGGACTAAAGATTAAAATAGGACAAACGTTTTAGTGACCATAGACTATATAAACTGCGTGCTTTAGTTTTATTCTTCCTGCTTTAATTTGATTTCATTATCCAAAAGTTGTCTCAATTATGAAGATCGTTTCGTCCATACATTGTCATAAAACCTGGCTGTTAAAAAACAATACTTACAGACAAATGCTCCATAAAAAAAATAAACACGGAAAATCCCAAGTAATTGCTTAATTGATTTCCTTTTAAAGCAAGACATGCGGTATTTAAACGCCAAGTTATATAACGTTAGTAATTTTATTACAACACTAGCTGTTTCCCATGCGGCTTCATCCACTTAAAATTTAAAAAAAACTTTATTTTATTGTTTACATTTGTCAAATTAATTGCAAACGTCAAAATTATCGTTATCATAATAACCTTGCTTCCTAATGATGGCAGCTTCTTTGTGTTTCCTTTCCCACATTAGGGTTTTTATCCAATTTATTTACCCTCTAAGTTTAATAGCATGAAAATATATAGCCTAAAGCGTGACGTAAGTGTAGGGGTTTTTATTAAAAAAAGATTTATTCAAAAACATGCTGTAATTGCTGACATCCTACGCCACGAAGTAATGTGTGTTAACGCTTTATATTAGTATAGGTTGATCGTAAACCGTATCCTTCACTAAAGTATTTGATATCAAACGAAAATGAAAGTTTCGTCCTGTGTCCGTTAACACGGTAGACGTAATCCTATCACGTTTTACAACCTTTTGACTGCACCGGATATTTGTAACATTAATGTAGCATTTATACAACCGTTCGTGAGACCAGTAAATATACAAAGCTTTAAAACTCGTAAAGATTTTGACGTCTAAAGACGGAACCGGGTATTTTGAATGTGGCCTCATTGCAATGTGCATAGGCAAATGTAAACACATGGCCTATTGTAGATCAAATCAATCTATTTATAAAGCGACGTATTAATTCAATTATATTGCGATTTTTTGTTAAGAGTGAGCGACTTTGACTAAGCTATCGCACGACTGTTTAGTCCCGCTTTGATTCCTATGAGCTTATATGGAGGTGCGCACACTACTCGATTTTTAGTTGTACAATTAAACAGTTGAATGGGCTGCGAAATAAAAAACAATGGCACAACAGTTATGCCATATTTTCAAAGATGTGCACGCGCTCTAAGGTTACTATACTTTCAATACTCTTTACAATTTGCCTAAACAAGTGAGCGACGTTCGAATTACCGGTGACTTAAATTATATCAACTAGTCAACACCACATGCAAGATATTTTACGGTCGCCGAACAAAACGTATGAACCGTTATTTTAAACGCCCTTGTGCTCATTCGATTAAATCGTCTATCCTATTTTTAGAATATCTGCAAACCGCCGAAGGTTCCGGTGTGTTCCTTGGAGATCCCAGAACCTTCGTCTACGTCACTATAGGATGGCCACCTAAGGGGTTTTAGTAGGTCAAATCCTACATACCCCTGCCTTCCCCCGAGAAGGCAAGGTATCTTTTGAAGATTTCTCTCCCGACACCAAAAAAAGGCCTTACTTAACTTAGCTAATCCAAATTGCTTGAATTAAGTTTATATTGTTATCTAAGAGTATTTTACATTCAAATGTATTACAAGATGAGACAAGACGGTGATTTATCCAGGAAGTAAATAAGAAAACACTGCTTTCCTTTGTTCTTTGTTATTTTTGCCTTGATTGCCTGTCTGGCATTGAATATTTTAATTTTAGCTGAATAATTGGTAACCTTCGCTGTGTTTGTAACATACGTACTAAAAAGTGTTTTTTTTAACTAGTAGAATATTTATTTCTATGCTTTTGGAATCAAATGCGTTATAGAATTAAATACAATATTTTTCTAATGTTTCAGTGTTACAGACTAAATTGTTTTATTACCGTTTTGTCAAAAATATTGCAAATAGCATGTATTATAATGCAAATCTATGATGCGTTTGTGCGTCTGTTTATCTTAACATCACGTAACGGAATATGCTAATTGATTCAATGAACAAGGTTAAATTTAACTATTATTGTACATCGCGTGCGTTTCCTTTCACGTAGACGGACGTGACTGCATTTAATACACAATACTACATGGAATTTTATTCCTAAATCGTCACAATAAATATTAATGTTTATGTTAATGGTATGGTATTATTATCCATATTATAGGAAATTTGAGAGTAGCCCCAGTGGTAGAGAAGGTAAAAGGTTAGCATGGTATGGGCATGTTATAAGGAGGGATGAATCGCATGTTACAAGAGCATTAGTTATGAGTGTGGAAGAGTACACCGGTAGAGGTAGACCTAGAAAGAGATGGATGGATTGCGTAAAAGGTGAGATTATCAAAAAGGGAGTGGTGACAGATGACGTATGATAGTTATTTGGGGGACAAAAATCTTATGCGCCGACTCTACGGCAGTAGGATAAGGAGGACTATGATGATGATGATGATGATGATGAAGCAGGTTCGAGGAGCATTTCATGTCAAACCACTTGCTAAAAACCTATATGCCAATATGTATTAACTTCACTATAATATAAGTACATAATGCTGACCATCAATAGATGTTGAGAAATCATGTAAACTTTTAATATTTATAATTGCAAACATTTTTTCAAATTAATTCTAACAACTTAGAGCGATATTAAATTGAATAGTAAAAGGTCATAAGTTCAAAGACAATTTGCGCAAGACATTTGCATAGATGAAGTTATTGATATCACTTAGACATTAGAGCGGACGCACGCCTTTGACTAAACTATCGCACAACGGTTGTGCGATTGTCAATTATTTCGCAGCCCATTCAACTGTTTAGTTGCACAACTAAAAATCGAGTAGTGTGTACCTCCATATGTCTACCTCTACCTCTGGTATGTTATCTCCAATAAAACTAATACAAAAATAGTATATATAGAATTTGCATGTCTGACGTGTTCTTAATGAATTACAGTTTTATCGAGGAGGTTAATGTTGATTGTCTCATTGCGAAGGTCAGACCGCGCCCCATGTTCTTTACGTAAAATGTGTCCTAAATTTAGATAAACTCTAATGTTTATTAAGATTATTATAATTCAAAACAGTTGAATGTCGTTTCAGTATTCGGATTTTAGTTATAAATTTTCTAAATCAGAGATACCTATTCTTTTTAGCAAGACTACTGCCAGTAACCCCCTCCTGTTTCTACAATTCTGTATTCTCAAATCTCACCATCAATCCCGACTATCTTGTATATTTCATGGTATTCCATGGACCCCAGGGTCCCGTACTATATTGGGAATCGCTCGTATAAATCTAAATCTTTAACAAAATAATTTATCATACATTATTTAAAGATTTTTGCGACATTCTCTTCAATACTTGAAGACAACAATAAATAATCTCACGTACTCACCTTGTACGATACTATCTTGCACGCGAGGGTTATAATCATTACATTTACTAACATACTTATAATTCACTGAGATGCATTGCTTGTATTTGTTGGCTGTAACGTACTTTCCTATAGTTAGTATCGATTATTACGTGAATTTAGACTAATTATGGAATTAAGGAGCATTTATTGCTTAACCAGTACCTACTGTGATGGATGCTTCAAATTCCAATTATAGATTAGAAGATAAAGACCATGTTCCATTTTCTGGCGAAATGTATGTACAAAAACATGTTTTATCTCTATTTATTTCTTAGCGAGTGAGGGATATGACATTATGTTTATACGAGGGTGAATCAAAAAGTTCTTAGAAGTGCATATATATGAAACCTTTTTGGATCAAGTTCGATATTCAAATTAAAGAGTGTCTATCACACTATATTTATGCACACTGTCACTTGTTTTTGTCAGTTCGTTCGCATGTAATAAATTTTTTTGTGCAACGAGTTGCTTAAAAGTCAAAATTATGGATAAAAGTGAGTTACGAGTAAGTACATCGGCAGTGTACACTCTAGGTTAGTCTAGCTAAATTTGACACGATTTTACGGTTTCGTGACGATTGCGATACTTCAATGACAAACACGTCAAGGCCCTAATGAGCTCGTCCCATGGGTCACGCTTCGTCGAAACCATTTGACCTAAACGCTGGATTTAATAAGTTAATTACATATTCCATGTAATTATTCTTTACAGTAATTACATTAAAAATTACTTAGCAAATGGAATAAAGTAGACATGTTGAATTTTCACTTTATATTCGCGGAAATATTACTACTAATCTAAGAGCTTTTATATAAAAAAACAGTAATATCTGTAATCTCAACATTTGACTATTATCAGGATGATATCCAGTTGATATAATTACTTTCATCTTCAAACTCTAACGACCAATAATTGTTTAAAATATCTAGAGATTATTTTTTTTACTAGTTTTTGCCCGAGACTCCGTCCCCACGCGGACGAGTTATTAAAAAAAAGAGACATTAGAAAAAAGTGAGTATGATTTTTTCCAAACTATCCTCTACATCTTTACCAAATTTCATCAAAATCCGTTTAGCCGTTTAAGCTTAACACTAACAAACATCCATCCATCTTAACTTTCGCATTATAATATTAGGATGATTAATTATTTGCTCGTAACCGCAATTAATGTAGAGATAAGGAACATTAGGGAATGTGTGAATGTGCTTGCAAGCTCATTGTACCCGTTCTATGTACCGCAACTGAGATGCCCGCATTTCCTAGCGGTCCACTTGCCGGTCTAATACACGCGACTAAGGTTTATTTCTCATGTGTATGTACAAGCATATGACAGATAATTCGGTTATTGTGACAGAAACCGTATACTGATGGACATAACTTTTTAAACAATCCAAATAATAGACTGCGTTTGACACGAATAGATAATATACGAAATGAGTATATTAGAGGAAGTTTGAATGTAGCCCTAGTGGTAGAGAAGGTAAGGAGTAAAAGGTTAGCATGGTATGGACATGTTATGAGAAGGGATACGCCTACGCTACGCTACGTT